TTATTTGAAGTCTCTTTACCACTTGTATTATAGACTTTAAAGCCGCTGGAAAGAATTTGGTAGGCAAAAATAAATACTCTCACACTATGTGCTTAGAATGTTAGTGGGCAGTGTACCCTAATACTTGAAACACTAGGATTACCACAGATTAGGTATAAGATTCAGTCACAATTCTAATGTCAAAATGAATAGGTCACTACTGACTCCCCTTAACAGCTCAGTGTTATTATTAGCTACAAAATATATAATGTGCTCCCTCAGAAGAAATGTGGCTGCTTTATTAAAACTTTATAACATTTCCTTTTCACTAACCTGGGAAGATAGCATTAATAGGATCTACTTAGTTCTTTCATAAATTTGGAAATTCACACAACAGCTCATCTAATTTCATACCATTTTCTTTTTCTTTTTTTTCCCCATACTTGCTCAAAAGCAGCTTGGCAGAAAAGGCCCTGGAGGTCCTAGTGAGGACACAGTTGAACACGAACCAGCAAGGTGCCCTTGCTGAAAAGAAGGCAAATGGTATACCCTGGGCTGCATTAGGCAAAGTATTAACAGCAGGCTGAAGGAGGTGATCCTTCACCTCAGCTTAGCCCTGGAGTGCTGTATCCAGATCTGAGCTCCCCACTACAAGAGCAATACAGAGCTACTTGAGAGACTCTAGCAAAGGACTGCACAGATGATGAAGGGATTGGAGTACCTCACATATGAGGCAAGGCCAAGAGACTGGGACTGTCCAGCCTCCGGGAGAAGAGGAGGGTCAGTGTGTACAAATTCCTAAAGGGAGGGTGTAGAGAAGACAGAGTTAGGCTCTTTTCAGTGGTGCCCAGAGACAGGACCCACAACAATGTGCAAAACCTGAAACACAGGTGGTTCCCTCTGAATATCAGGAAACACTTTTTCACTGTGAGAGGTGACTAAGCACCAGCACAGGTTGCCCAGGGAGGCTGTGGTCTCCATCCTTGGAAATATTCAAAAGCCATCTAGACATGGTCCTGGGCAACCCACTTTAAATGTCCCTGCCTGAGTAAGGTGATATTGGACGAGATGACCTTCAGAGGTCCCTCCCAACCACAACTGTTCTGTGATTCTGTGAGTTCTGTGTGATAAATGGATACGTGACCATCCTGTACAGGTATATCACAAGGATATATCCAGTGTAAAAAGCACACACAGATCATGAAGGACAACTAAGGAGTTGTTATAGATGAGGGCAGTTACCTGCAGGTACTCCACCTAAACAGGTCTATGGTAACATCAAGGTGTTGGGGGAAGAAGGTAATTAAGATGATGCTGCTTTCTTCAACAGCTGGCTAACTGATTTCTGACATTGCATGATAGTTTCAGCCCAGTCGTCTTTTTAGCTCTGGGTCCATTGAAGACATGATGGATTTTCCTTTCAGACACTACTCCAGAATTTGTCTTTCACCTCTCTTTCCTGTGAGCCTTGCTTGGGTGACGTGTTCACACCATGGCACTCTCACTGGTCTGCCATGTAGAGCTGAGAGCATCAGCGACAGAGACTTTACAGCACGCAGGATGCCCCACAGCTTGGGAGCCCTGAGACTGCAGCAGAGGCCATATCAGAAGGTGCTCAACTCACTGAATTATCATTGGGAAGGTTAATTCCCTAATTTTTGGTATATTTACAGGTATGAAGGTGCTTAGAGTTTTGATTAGATTTTTCTTTCAGCATTTTAAATTCAAAGGACTAACGAACTTCAGGTGGAAAAAGTCTCACTGAAAAAAATCCTAGTTTAAGTGCTAAAATTAATTTTTGAATGTAACCATGGAAGAAAAAATAAACCAAAACACCCTAGAAAAAACCCAAGGCATGTGATGATGGACCTAGGAAATAATTACATTTCTGCTTAATTTTATGACCTGTGGGTAATCTCAGCAATTCAACAAAACTCTTTTCAGTGCATAAAGCCAACACCTCTTCTAATGCAGCCTCGATGGTGGCTGCATGAGCATGAGCACCGTAACATTAACAACTTCTCCACCTAGCTGCCTTCTTCCATAACGTCAACCTGAGCAGCTGTAGACAAGCAGAAGTGCTACTTTGGGGGAAATGTCAGAAATAATTTATTTCAACACACTTTTGAAAATACTGTTCTCAGGGTGTATTAAGTGGGGTGTAGTACTTTTAGTAGAGTGGATGCTTAGTTCTTGTTTTCGGTATAAAGATTGTTTAGTATGCACTAAAAATACTCCAGCGGTATTATACATGATTAAGGGATTTTTTTTACTGGTAACCTTATTAGTGAGTTCACTATGAACAATGTGTTTATTAGATAGCGAACAGCACTTCAGTTTGTACAGGACCATTTGCTAGCAACTCACGGGTGACTCTACTGGCTGATCAACTGGGGATTACTGCCTAGGGATTGTAATAACATAGCCCAGTTTGGGTGCAGTAAATCACTAATGTCCAAATTAGGCTATCAACATAAAGTATTTGATAATAATACAAAGCTAAATGGCTGTTTGGAAAAGCTGATGGTGGTGGTGTTGGCAGCAGATGTAATTCATGTGAGCTATACAGCAAATAATCTGAAGCCTGAAATGATTTCTTTAAAAGTTATGGCCAAGTTTTGTTCTTATTTTAGTCACTTGGATTATTGCCTGTTGTGCTTAGGACTTGACATTTGCTGAATGCATTTAAAGAATGCATTTAAAGAAACATGCACAACTTTAAAAGCAGTTAACAGAAGAAATGGTCTGAAAGCGCCCCTGAGAGCTGCTGCCTCAGAGCAACTCCTCTTTCCACCTGTGTGACACTGAACTGCATTTCTGGGTTTTGCCTTCTCTGAGGAAGAGCTATGCAACCAACACAGGGGATCAACAAACTGATATGGTAGACAGACTTACTGAAAACATGACATGAACTAAACAAAATCTAAACAATCCAGTAGAATCATCTTTTCTCATCACCACCTCACCAAAACATTACCAAAAGTGAACATGGATTGTCTCCTGCCCTCTCTGGGTATTCCCAGACAAGTTTGATTGACTCATGTGGAGCAATCAGAGGGTATTACCATCTGTAGTTATCTGCTTTTCCATTTTGGTCATGATTACCACCTCACAACAGAGAGCAGAAACAATGCTTCAAACTGCATGGCAAATTATTGTAAAGAACCATCACTTTGGGATTTTTTTGTATTTTGTGTGGTTGGGTTTTTTTTTCCTGAAATGGAAACCTCTGGGAGAGGAACAGCTTAGACAGGAGGGGAAGGTAATATCTCTTGGTATGAACAGACAGACATTTTCTGGAGACACTGTTTTGAATCCTGTTCTTTAACTTCTCTTGGATCACAACTTGATGGCATGGTAAGTTGGATTTCAGAGACTCCTGTTCCTCCTAAATAAGAAAAAAGATAGGGAAGGAACGTATTTTTCTAAGTTTGTTGATGTACGAGGGTGCTGGTATGCAATAAAAACAGTACCTCCATCTATGGAGTCCAGCTGTATGGTACAAATTAGGAGGTAACACACAAATAACAAAATACCAATCAATGCTCCTATGGACAGGCCTCAGAGAGGTTTGTCTTCCCAAGTAACCGTTACGTGTGATGGGGCCCCGCTCTCCTGGAGATGGCCACACACCTGCCTGCCCACGGGAAGCAGCGAAATCATTCCTTGCTTGTGAGCGTGGCTTCTGCTTTCCCCATTAGATTGTCTGTAACTTAACCCATGAGTTTTCTGGCTATTACCTTTCCAGTTCTCTCCCCAGTCCTGCTGGTGGGACAGCGAGCAAGCGGCTGTGTGGGGCTTGGTTCCCAGCTGGGGCTAAACCATGACACCATTTAACTCCATTCCCTCTTATCCTCCTCTTGCTCTGTCACACACACAGTCCCACAGCAAAACCTTTCCATCCAATGAGATCAAACCCATGTGTGCCTTTAACTTGAGCTTAACTTTGCTTGTACTTAGCCATTTCCTATAGTTCTTCTAAGATGAAGGGCAGTGGTTGCACCCAACACTTTTAACAGTATTTATCACAACCTGTCACAGTGAGTTTGAGTGAAACCAGTAAGCCTGTTCAGGGTGATGAAAAGAACCATTACATAATATGGTTCAGCTTAAGTTCAATGGGGTAAATTGGTTAGACGAGTCACCATCCCACGAATCAGAAGACAATTTGGAATGAGAAAAGAACGTTGGCTATTTTTGCTTAGAAGTGTACTGTTGGGGTTTTGTGAGAAACATGTGCATATAGTATGCACATACTATATGCTGGTGTTAAAAGCTCCAAGGATTTTTTGTCTTAAGCCTGTGAATAAATGTGGTTGGTCACAGCATAGTGCTAGGATATTTGCAAAATGCTTACAGGAACTCTTGGAATAATTAAAGAATGGTGTCTCCATGACAAGGTAACACCCATCCCATTTCTTGCCAAGGAAGCAATATGGTTATATATTATGAATTATGGCTAATTATCTCACATCCTGCTTTTTCTTCTTCAAGATATTCCATATTGCTGTTAATAACATCTTTCATTTCTACAGTGGGGAGTATTCCAGAGGATTCCACTCAATCTCCATGGAGCACAGTCAAAGTGTGACCACGACCTGGCATAGCAAGAGAAAAATTCCAGCCAAGACCATTACAAGATTCCTCTAATCCTATACCAAAAGGTTGCTACTACCCACAAAGAAGTGAGAGAGTCTGATTTCCTAGGGTTTTGTCCAAGATCTTCAGCTTCAGAGCCAGAACACAATTTAGTTGAACAGGAAGCTCTCAGACACTGATGCATGGTTCCTGGACAGTGAAATACTGTGACTATGAAATGTGTACTGTCAAATTTTTTCTGATCTGATCCCACCCACCTTTTGAAACTCAGTTTTGCCAAAGTTTAAGCCAAGAGGGGGGGGTTGTATTTACTTTACTAAATGGTAGACATAGTCAGTTCAAACATGAATAGTAGAACGAGTAGCAACTGAGTAATTTCTTCGAATGAGTTAGAAATCAAAAAAAAACCCAGTTAAACAACCAAAGATCCAAAGCAGAGGTTTAATAACTGTTTCCAACATGGCTTCTAGAATTTGTGATTCTTGGGGCTGTGCTGTGCAGGGCCAGGAATTGGGCTTTGATGATCCTTGTGGTGCCTTCCAATTCAGAATATTCTGTGGATCCTGCGATGTATTAAAACAAATATAAGAAAAAAGAAAGAAGAAGAAAAAAAGAAAACAGAACAGTTATCTATAGTCTGACTGACTATACTCTCAAAAAAGGTTTTTTTTTATGTATTAGACCAACCTTTTGCATTTACATTGGCTAAAAAGCAGAAGTCTTGAATTCTTCACTAGTGTGTGTTAACTCATCCCACTTACTTTTATTTATAGAATATCATATTGTATTTCCAAACAATGAAACTTGCAAGCAAAGACATACTGCATGTAAATAAAAAAAACAGGCTTTCAATCAAACAATTTTTAAAACAAGGAAAAAAAGAGAACCTCTAACATTGAAATGATGTTCTCAGTGCAGCCAAGTATCCAAGGAATCTTGAAATAGAAAACACAGAACCTATTTGGATAGACATATACACAGCAGAATTTCAAAATTTTAAAATTTCTTAAAAAGCAATGAGAATGCCAGTACCAAATACAGAGACTTCAGATCACCACATTATTGAAACAATGAGCTAACCCTCCTAGTTTATTTTCAGTTAATTTAATTTTTTTTGCATAATATATAAACACATGACAAAACTGAATTGCAAATCAAAGCAATAATAAAAATTCATTAGTGGAAAAAGGGAGAGAGAGATCTCCAAAAAAATCTCTGTGAAAAACTAATCAAGCTAACAATTTCTAATTGCTTCAAAGTTAAGAAGAAGATAATGTCCAACACTAATTTTTCAAGAAATGATGCCCAAGCAGTCTCATTTCCTTTTATAGCAAAGTAACAGGCCCCTTGGATAGGATGGACAAAGCACTTACCATATATTTGATTTTAGTAATGTTGTTTAACCTCAGATACAGATTGAGAAGGAATTGAAAAAGCTAAAGCAAATAAAAATCTGTTGCAAAGAGACAGGGGACAGTCTGATCCCAGAGCTTACGGTGGACAGGGATAAATATATGGGCTTCCGATGCAGCAGGAAGGATCACAGTTATGGATCAGAACAGCTTTCCAAAAGTATAAATTTTAAATTAGAGAAATAGACTGCTTGAGGAAGAAGGCTTTGGAAGAGAGAGTTCACCATCAGAGATCTTGAAGAACGGATTGAGTGAAGGAGCAACATATGCATGACTGACCCTGCATGGGGCAGAGAGGGCGAATGAGCTCTAAATAACCCTCGGAGTTTCCACTTCAGACGTTTTTTATGTCACTTGAATATATTTACATTCTTCAAAAGCTCCATAGACGAATTGTTCATTATTTAAATGAGCATCTGAAATCAGAGAGCAAAAGTTTTATATCATCAACAGTTCTTTTGGTCCCTGGGCATAGCATATTTTGGTGGCTTTAACTGATCACTCCCAGCAGTGTTACAATAGGAAGAACAACCACTGTGCTAAAATTTTCTCACCATATCTCTTCCAGACTCCAGAAATACCACTTCAGGGTCATTCAGGCTTATTACATTAAAAAAACCTTATAATAAATAGTCACCTGTGCCTTTGTTGCAATGTTGTGTAGATGGTAAATGGTGTAGGATGGCACAGAATATTTCCAAGTTAAGAATTTAAATTCACAGCACAAATACACAGTTATCTCCATCTTCCCCTCTGTGATCTATGCCAACCCTCATTTCTCCACTCATGTATAACTACCATTTTGTCCCTCAGGAGGCCCACTCTTGACTCATCCCTGCTTTCATCAAGCATCACCTCACCTCATTTGCTGTACCATATTGTGATCAAAATCTCTCAATCTGTTCTGCCATCATCGCTCTCTCTCCCTCACCCAAATACCACTCATTTCTAGTATCACAGTCCCTGTTGCTCCCCTCTCCAAATGAGCATGCCCTCATTCACACTATTCTCCCCGTGTGTGTTCCAGTTTTCCTCTGGCACATCTAGCTTCTATCTGTTCTCACAGCTGCACTGTGAATATGGCTCTGCTTCTGCTTCCTCACCATGCTGCTCTACCAAGAGAAACATCAGTCAGTCTATTCAAAGCACAGCACTCGGAGTCACTTGTTTTATTACAGGACTTTGTTTAATCTCAGTTTTCAAAACACCTAATTGTTTTCTTTATATTATCCAATTGAAGATCTGGGGAGTTCATTAACCTTAATCACTTTAAAGTCAGACTCATCTTAAACATTTCATCTCCATTCCTAAGTGTGTGCTTTCCAAATGTCCTAGTTAGAACATCTGGGATCAGCTCATCACTGTGTGGATGTAACCCAAACTGTGTATTCTATACCCTTCCATGCGATTTCCCAGAAACTGTTATCAATAGACCATTTACAGCAGCTGCCCAGAGCACGCCTGACCCCTCAGGCTGTAAGCTGGGTGTTAAGAGGCCTGTGAGATAGGAGGATGCTTCTGTCCTCACACCCATTGTGGAACTCCCCGCCCTGAGGGAGGTACTGGGCATTCCTGCCTGAACCTGAGGATATATATAATCTTGGAGTCTTGGGACTTCTGGTACCACTCCTGGGATCCAGAGAAGGACTGGAAATTGGACTGGACTGCGACCACCACTCTCAACCAGACTGAGACCACTACTCCCAACCGGACTGCAATCACCACCCTTGACCGGACTGCAACCAGCACTCTCACCAACAGGTTTTCCCTCTCCTTTTACTTTGGACTCAGGGGGACCACGTGGGGCTCAGCACAGGGAGGGGGGCCCAATGAACACCACTCTGTTCATGCCCCGGGGTGCTGAGTTATACAGCTGGGTTTTGTGGGTTAAAACCAATTGTTTGTCTGTGTAATTGTATTTATTGTACTATTTTTATTAAATTGTTATTCTGGTTTATAATCTCTTTTGAATTGGGTTCATTTCCCCTGCCAGTTTACCTTTAAATCAGCATACCAAACTATGTCTGCAGTCTTATTTCTTATTACATTTCCCTACAGCCTGCCAATGGACACAGTCTTTTCATTCCTTCCTGTGATTCTTACATTCTGTCCCCACAGCCTGCTCGCACTTAAGTTCTTCTGAGTTGATCTTAAATTAATACTCTGTCAGCAATCATGGCAACTAATAAGGTCTCATAATTGTTGAGAGGCTAACGCTGACACATATTTGACTCTACTCAGGCTGCAACAGCTTCATTCTGAACACAAGGAGACACTCAACCAATCCTGCGTATGTGGGGTCGCTGCTTCCCCTTCCCTGTCGTTTGTTGCTATGGCAAGTGTGTTGCCCTGGGGGTTCAGCTGAGGGTTGGGCTCTCCCCAACTCTGCTCTGAGCCAGTGCGGAGGAGCCCCCAGCAGACACAGTCTGGTGGGGCTGTAATGCAGTGCCAAAAACAGGCCAGCAAGCGGCTGCTGCACCGAACTGCTTTCCCGTCTGCCATAGGCAGGACCTACGACAACACGGCAAACTGCTTTGACAATAACGCGTTATGCGAACGTATAAGAGAACGTATAAGAACTAAACCGCACTGTTTCCGTGAGCCCCACGAGCCGCGGCCGGCATCCACCCCGCGCCCTCTGGGTCAGCCTCTTGCAGCAGCACTGCTTCCTCCCCCTGCGGGGCCGGGCCCACGCAGCCCCGTCACACACCCCTGTGGTCACAGGGCTTCCTCCAGTGCGCATTTCGTCCAATTTTATTAAAATAATAATAATAATAATGCTAAAATAAATAAATAATATTAAAAGGGTTGGCACTCAGGCTGCCCCTTGTCGCGATCAGATGACGTCACAGACAGCGCCCGCATCCTTCGGCCGCGCCCCTCCGCCACCAGAGGGCGCCACCGCCCGCAGCGCGCGGCCCCGCCCCGCCCGCAGCGCGCGGCTCCGCCCCGCCCACCCCTTCGCCCCCCGCCCATCCCCTCCCATTGGCTCCTGGCCGCGGGGCGGGGCCGGAAAGTCACGTGCCCTCCCTGTGCCCGCCCCCGCCTCCTCCCTCGTGGGTGGTGCTGGAGGACCTATCCCACAATGCTCGCGGGGGCGGGGCGGGCCGGAGGCGTCTCTGTGGCTGCCCCGCCCGCCCGTGCCCTGGTGGCGCAGCGCCCCCGCGCGAGCCCCGCCGGCGCTGCCGCCCCGCCACCGCGCGCACATGTGGCGGCGCGGCGCGCGCTGAGCGCGCGGGGCTCCCAGAGCTGCGGGAGCCCTGAGGGGGCGCGGGGACCGGGACCGGGACACGGACCAGGACTCGCCGGTCCGTGCGGGGCAGCGGCCGCGCCAGGGAACGACGCAGCGCCAGGTGAGCACCGGCGGTCGGGGCCGGCCGGCTCCCTCGGGAGTTTCCGCGCGGTGAAGGGAGGCACTCAGGGCCGCGGGCCGGGGCCGGGCGCCGGCAGGAGCGGAGAGAAGGGGAGGGCAGGGAAGGCGCGGGCACTGCCGTCCCGCTTCGGCCCGGCCTTGGCCCGCGCAGAGCCCGCCGGACCGGGGCGCTCCCGCCGCTCCGCCGAACTGGGCGGAGTTTGCTGCCGGCTCCGGCCGCGGATGCCCCCCTTTCCTTCCCTCCCCTCCCCGCCTCTGCTCTCCGCTCCTCTCGCCGCCCGCGTCGTGGCGCCGGCCGGGAGGGAGCCCGGCCCGGCCCGGTGCCCCCGCTCGGCCCCTACGGGTCCGCGTCTAGCTCCCGGGGCTAGAGGGGAACAAAGCGGGGCGGCAGCGGCGATCCGGGGCCCTCCGCGCCCACAGCTTTTGTGGAGCCGCCCCAGGAGCAGCGGCAACCCTGGAGCCCTGCCCGGGGATCCTGCGCGGCGCTGAACAAAGATACGGCCCGGCGAGGCACCGCCGTCCCGCCGCTCCCGGACCGGCCTCCTGGAGCCGTAAACATCGGGAGCGTTTGCTGGACGAGCGGCTTCTGAAGTGTCCGGAGTTACCGGGGGCCTTGGAGTTGTGGAGGAAGTTGCACGAAGAGGCTCAGCTCAAAGCCCAGCTCTGCTTTTGTGCTGTTGTGGGATCGCGAGTGACTTAAACATCAGCAAAGTTGCGCAGAGTAGCGCTGGAGCCCGGAAGCAATGCAGTTACCGAGCCAATGACATACTCTCCAGTACTACTTCTGTTTTATAGTACATGGTGTCCTATTTTCTTCTTTTTTCCCTTTGGTGAGTATTAAGGAATATTATTAGCCTGAGCCCTAAATGTAACTCATCTTTCACAATCCATCTCCACGTTTATAACGTTTTCCTCCACGTTTTCCTCTTACAATGTTTTCATCCTAGTCTACTAATTAATTTTAAATTCTTAGGAAGAAAGAAATAACAGAAAGGCCAGGTAGTTACCGTGTGTTTAGTTTCAGTAACTAGGTGCTGTTGGCAGAGTCATTATTTACAATGTCAAGAGATGGTTAAGGCTGTGCCTTTCGAAGTACTAATTATAAAATGGATAGAATGCTCCTGATTCTTGAACGGCTATTTTAAGATTGTAATTTTGTAGCTTTGGTAACCTTAAAAGGGAAATCTAGCTAACTTAGTGTCTGATGTTAAGTTTGTAGATCACTGGTGTATTATGTACTTTTGATTTTCTTTTCAGTGGATCATAGTTTTCAGTGTAATCTAACTTAGTTTTACTGTGTAGGTATTCAGACTCTTGCATGTGGGAGAGTCATTTTGTCAGGATTTCGTTTGATCTTCGCAGAAATAAATGGTAGGTTTCTTAAATGAAATGACATGGTGACAAAAATTTGCTATTATTTGGTTGATTATATGTGGTAATCAATGTCTCTTGTTTTTTAACTGGAAAAGCTGTATTTAGAGATTGACAGTATTAAAAGAAAATGGATAGCATCCTCTTCAGAGGCATGGAAATGACTTAGAAGTGATCCCAAGTACTTTTTCAAATGTTTCCTTTAGCATTTCTAGGAATACAGTGTTTGTTTTTCTGATTTCCTTAGATAAGATGAAAAATATTGGAGGTGGGGGGAAGGCTATTTAGACTTTTAGTCAGAATATTAGATCTCTTGAAGCTTTCCTTTTAGTAGTTTTACATTTGCTGATGTGTCAACTTCCAGAGTGACAAATGACACAAATAAGAGATATATCCATTTTCTTTCATGTTTCACTTACCTAAAGTCTGCTCAGGAATGAGCAGAACGAACAACAGCTTTGTGGCCTGGGCGAGTGGCACTAAGAGGAAATCTCTCTCTTCCAAATGATCATGAAAGAGAATGTTTTTCAGTGCTTTAATAGCAGTAAGCCTGGGTTCGCTGGTTTGCCTCGTATTCGGATCATCTTTATGATTGGGAACACTTTTCCAGGTATACAGTGAGTGTTTTGACCCTGAATTTATGGTTCTCCAACACAGTATGTTAAGGTTTGACCCCACAGGCAGATGTAAGTTTATCACGTTCTCTGGTTAGTCAGCTATTGCTTTCGAAACATCCAGAGGATAGAGTTTTTGTGCTCTCAGCTGGCTGTAGTTTGGTGCAGTTATTGCATGACTTCTAGCCCCTAGTTTTATAAAACTTGTAGATTGTTCTGCTCCTCATACGTGATGGTTCTTCTCGGGTTACAAACATCTGTTGGTTTTTGGTTTTGTCTTCTGTTACAGGGATTCTTTGCAGAATCTTCTCAGTTTTCCACTGTCTTGAGTACTAAAAAACCTGTGCAAAAGCTTTATATTACTTAAGTTTGCTTTATATGGTAATTAGAGGGTGATTTTTCTTTTAATTAATGATGTATTTAAACATATATGATATTAATGGGGGTGAAAAAAAGCACTGCTGATAAGAGTTTGATGGGCTGACTTGCCATACCTACACCAAAATTCTTGAAGCCTGGCCTTTTGTCAATACACTGTTCAGTGTTCAGTTTTTTTGCCAGCGATCTAAGGTGAGGTAGAAAAAATGTCCTTCCAGTTAATAATTACAAAAACATGCAGAGCAGTTCCTGATGATGGCTAAACTTATTGTTCAGTGTTGTCGAGCATCGTTATCAGTTCGTCTGAACGAATTCTGAAGTATTTACAGTTGATCTGCTAAACCCTTTAAGGCTGAGTAGATTTTATAAATCTCAGCATTTCCCAATCTTTTTGCCTATTTTTTTTTTACGTGTCGGAGGTGCAGTGTGAAACATCTTCTCTAGTCATCAATGCCAGAGATCTCTAATGTGAATATGCTTTGGAGCACTTCAAAACAAGGGCTAGTTCATGGCTTTTCATAGCTTTTCAGCAGTGTAGGCACATTTTGTTTCATCTGTATATACTAATCCACTTGCCCTGAAGGGCAGTGAGCAGAGAGGATATGAGTGGAGTGATATCATATCTGCCCTACTTGTTTGATGTCTTTTCACCCAACAGTTGAGGATAGGGTCACAAGCCAAAAGCTGTAAACATCTGAGTTTTGGTTTTGAGAATTGCTTAGTTTTGATACGCTGAACTAGTTGAGAAGGATGATTCTCTTGTGTAGGAAATTAGCTGCAGTTGTGAAATAACAAAAGGAGGGCTGTAGATGCCAGAAGGTGGAAGATGAATGGTGAATGTACATCTGCCTTTCTGTTCCCTAAAGCTGCAGCTCTGCTGTCTTGAACAGATGTTCATCACCTCTGCATGTGGGTCTGATGGAGCACCAAAGGATGGTGACTGCCTTGGAAGGGCTCTCAGAGGTTGAATGTGCATAATCTGTACTTAAGTGGCACACACCAGATGCATTAAGTAGTTTTTCTCTGTTGGGAGCTTTTACCAAAAAAAAAAAACAAAACCCACCAAAACAAAAAAAAGTGGAAGTTGCCTCTTCTTGAAAGCTTCAACTTTCCTTCATCTTATTTTTGTGGCACATCAACTTTCCTGAAGGCTTTCAGTTGGAGAAACAAATTCAGTTTAGCTAAATCTGGAAGTTGTCACTTCCTTAGGTAAGAAATTAGGAAATCATTAACTGACTTGGCAAAGGATGATCAAAATACTGCATTTAATTTATTCAGGAAACAAATATATATACACACAATATATATAAATATATACACTCAATATATATAAATGCCCTGTAGGCATTTGTGCATCTGTGTCTTATATTTGCATGTGTTGTGCTTAGATGAATATTTTCTCATGTTCACTTTTTATTAGCGAGTTATGCTGTCTCACAAATTTATTTTGATGATGAAACAATAGTATTACACTTTTTTCCTCCGTGAAAAACACAGAATTTGAATTTTAACTCAAAAATATAGTTTGTGGTCTGTGGTATTTCCTCTGAACTTTCTGAGATTCTCGGGTTTGCTGTGTGTATAAATTTATATATATATATATGTATATATATATATATATATAAGAATACATAGAGAGAATTGGGAAGAAATAGAAATACATCTTCCAGAAGCTGGTTTTTAAAGCCTAATAGTATGGTAAAATTGCAGTATCTGATCAGTTTTTCTAGTAGACACCAATAATAATGTCTTTCTAAATGCATTTTTTAAGGATTGGTGAGCTCCTGTTAAAATACAGTCTTTGTTCCTCTGTTATTA